CTACACACTGGTCCTTTAAGTAGTCCAATCAGTACATTCAGGTTCAAACTTCCTCAGTTACAGAAACTTGAAGAAATACACAAATTACTGAATCTTCAACTTCTCTTTATCTGTCTGTAGCTTTAATTGGATTCATTTGACAATTTTCCTTCTTCAGGTTATAGATTTATTGATTTGATTAATAGATTGAGACCAACCTCTGATCCCCTCCTTCCTGTCTGTCTTTATTTACAGTAAACTACTGATTTATTTCAACATTTACACGAAGAGACAACTTCAATAAGAGACAAGGACGCATTTGTCTTCTCACTTCTTCATACTGTAGAGTCCAGTAGAGTCCAGTAGAGTCCAGTAGAGTCTGTAATTAAGGTACAGTTGATCTGAGTTCGGTGTTTTTCAGGGAAATTATTTCAGTAGTTTTTTGAATGGAGTCTGGTTTGAAGAGTCAACAAACGCAAAGATCATTCATTTGGAAACAAAATAGCAGGAAACATCGCTCTCTTCTGATTGGCTGCAAAATGTGATGTCACAGCTGGCTCATTGTCATTTCCTGGCAAATCCCCCAGTTTCCTGTGTGTGTGTGTGTGTGTTGTGTGTTGTGTTGTGTGTGTCGTGTGTGTGTGTGTTGGTTGTTTCTAGTCCAAGCCAGGTCAAATAACATGTTTGATGTCTCATGGTTCAAACCACTGCTCTGGTGTTCGTGTGTGCTATATGTGTGATGTGTGTGTGAGTGTGTGTGTGTGACGGGTTGATCAATAATTCACACACAGATTAAAACTGAATGATTTTACTGAAAAACTACATCTGACAGGAGAGTGTGTGTAACTGTGTGTGTCAGTGTGTGTTTGAACAGGCGGAGTCCTCCATGTTGTCCGTCACTACACAAACACTCAACTGTTCAAACAGAAACTGATTCCTGCAGTTTGATTCTTCGGTTCAGTACCGGAGTCCATTTCTGCCAGTAAAATAAAACAACCTGAAAACTTAAGTGCATTGGGCCAAGCCGTCAAAGGTTCGGTAACCAATTACAGGCAAATGATACCTAAGCACGAACCTGTACATTTTGCTAAGTATGCTATGTGCCTATTTTGGTGAAGATTAGATGAAATGAATGAATGAATGAATGGCCGTAGCCTACATCAGTAAAATGAATAATAGCCAGAATAAACTAATATGCTTTATATGTGAAAATTAGAATTATGTGTGCTTGCAGCAATCACAGCAGACACAGTTGATGTCATATTATTGGACTTCACTTAACCTTATAAGATAATGTTAATATTAATAATATTATTGTTACTATTCATAGCATCAAGGTCAGCGTTGTGCTTCAATAAAACCTTCTCTGTAATCTTTATGCCTTGTCGCTCTCTGAAGGGAGTTTCTTTCTCCAGTGTTTGGCTGCACCAAAGCACCAGAATTACCTGGAATGATCTGTATTCTGCTGTTTATTTTTGTCCTCTCTACATCTTTTGGTGGATTACATTAATCAGTTCCTCTTATTGGCTTTTTCTTTGTGGGGCTTTTGTTGTACTTGTAGTGGCGTGTTGAGTGTGGTTGTGACTGATCTCTACCGTTGTCTCTCCTCCATTGTGGACGTCCCCAGTCTGTACTTTTGTATGCTTTCATATTGGTGGGCAGTGTGAGAGGAGGGATTCTCCACAAGAGAGATGTTAACGATGTCAAACTGGAGCTCTGGCAGGAACCTCACTGTTCTCAATTACTTAAATCCTGTGGCTGGTCTAAATGTGAATCACAAGAACCCAAAAGTTGCAATTTGTTCACATATCTTTCTTCTTTTAAAAGGTGATATAAATGTTCATGGCTTGAAATAAATGGATAATTCTTCGTCTTTTGGAGTTCTACAGAGTTTACAAGTTACCATATTGGAATGTTGTTTTGCCCTCCAGGTCTCCGTGCCAGTCATGTAACTGAAAACAATGAATTATATAAATCAAATACACAGTACAGACCTCTACCCTATGTCTACGGAACTGACCTGTGCAGTATCTACAGCATCAACCTATGGCCTGTATCTACAGTACTGACCTATGCCCTGTATCTACAGCACTGGCCTATTCCTTGTATCTGCTGCAAATACCTATGCCCCGTATCTACAGTACTGACCTATGCCTTGTATCTACAGCACTGGCCCATTCCTTGTATCTACAGCAAATACCTATGCCCCGTATCTACAGTACCGACCTATGCCCTGTATGAGGAACCCACTGTCAAAACTGTCCGAACAGTTCACGAGTTATCAGAAAAAAACAAAA